AATTTCATCAGTATTATGTAAAAATACTATACACCTATTTTTAAACATGCAATTTTTTTTTAAACAAGTAAATTTCAATGTTCAATTCATTGTACAATTCTAACATTTTTGAATTCTAAAATCATTTTCAAAGTTATTTTAAAAACAGAATTTCAGCAGAAATACAAAATTCATTGTTAAAAACAATTTTAGCTGTGGAAGTTAATTATTATGGCTTGACAAAGATACTTTTCGTAGTCTGAACAAGTACTGATCTACTCAAACTGAAGTATAATAACCGTATTTGTTCTATTAGAAAAGCATTGTATACAGATTTATTAAAATCTCTAGCATTTTGACCATAGAAACGCCTGTTATTTATGTTAGAGCATGCGCTACTAATAGAGCAAATACAGTAATTAAATTAAAATATTTTTCAGTTTCTCATGGTTTCGAGAAGTTTCTTGATTTTGTTTGTATACATTCCAAGCTCAAATGACCTTTCAACTTCCTCATGAAGACTATTGCTACAAAAACAACATTTTTGTTCATTTATGCCCTTGTTTAGACCACATACACATTTACCCACATTGTGGATTATAGAAGCAGGCAAAAGTTTAATTTCTTCAGATTCAACATGTCTGTAAGTGTCAAGATTTGGATTTTGTTGCCTTAAATGTACAATATCAATAAATTCATGTTCAAACACCTTGTCCCATTTGTTTTGTGTTGTGGTAAACTTGGAGTATGCCTGCAGTTTCAAGTGTTTAGCTTCTCTACCCTGAGTGGTGTTTAGACCCAGGCCCACTCCAAACTCATCATAAATTATTCTCATGTGATATGGTAAAACATAAGCCACTGTCCATTCACATAATCCAACTTTCAAAAATAATGCACATCCATTGAAGTACATGGTGCAATATTTCTGTAGGTCATCAATATCATCAACTATGATCTCAAATTTTGATGACAAAGCACTAATATGTCGTAAACAAACTCCCAAACAGCTGAAAACATGCAGTTTAAGGGTGTTCAAATGAGAATCTTTTTCTGATTGCAGTGCTAGAATAATCTCCATGAAATTCAAGGCAAATTTTTGAGAATCTTCACCAGTAAATCTCATGTCCAATGCAATTCCCTTCTTTCTTTTTTTCTGAAAACCACTTTCTGATTCTCAAAGCAACTTTTCCAGCTCTTGCTTGGGTTTTAATAGCTTGGTAATATTTCATAAAAACGCAATCTAGTGGCAAATCAGCAATTGTTAATGCTTTATCCAATATTTTATTATCAGTTTTTGCCATGGCTTCCTGAAACAAGTACTTATTAAAGTGTTGCCAAGAGTTATTTTTTACATGCAAAGGGTC